CATCCCAGTGATTTCTGGCCTCCGAAGTTTGAGATGAGAAAGTTGATGATGATCTTATTGGGGAATCTCTTGCATGTGATGAGTCAACTCTTTTCTAACTTCTTTGAATAGTCTCTCCTTGTCTTTGGCTTTCAGCAGTTTGATATAATGTATCTGGGTGTGAACTCTTTGTGTTCATTCTACTTGGAGTTTGTGGAGCTTCTGGGATGTTTTTACTTTGTTTCATTTTTGTTGATAATGCAGTCATAAGAACTCCGGAAGGCAGCCATGGTGTCATGAAGAGCACCAGGCCAAATCAGCTTCTGATTGTGCCCCTCGTTAACTGTGTGCGCTGTTTTACTGCTTTTGTTGTTGTTCCTTTTTTTAAAATAGAATTCATTTAGATGACATTGGTTAATAAAATTATATAGATTTCATGTGTACAATTCTATAATATATCATCTGTATATTGCATTGTGTGTTTACTAGCCAAAGTCAAATCTTCTGTCATTATATATTTGACCCCCTTTACCCTTTACCACCCCCTACTTGGATGTTTGAAATCATGGCTTTCGTTAAATGGGAAATCTTTGATTATTGTTCAAATAATCTCTTCCTCTTTTTCTCTTCTCCTCCTGAGACTCCTGCAATGCAAATTCCTTGGAAGTTGCTTCTGCTAGAGGGGGAGAAGGTTGTAACAATGTCAGTGAGGGATGCAACAGCCTCCATGAGCAGAAGCAGCAATCAGCTATCTGCATACTGATCCCCAGTACTTGAAGGATAGAGTTCTTATTGCCTACCCTGGCTCCTGTAGGCTGTGCTGTGTGCAAGGTGCTCTGGGAACATCTGCACTGTTTCCTGCTATAGGGTGGAGAGACTGAGAGCTGAAATTAACCACCATCACACCTTCCTGTGGATGTTGTAAGCCTTTAAGAGACTCTCCAGAGTTAAAAAATAGTTACTCAAGCAGATTCTTCCAGTGCAGATTTTGTCTATCTGAGGAGATATATTCCTATTACTTTCTCTTCTGCCTTCTTCTATACATCTTATGTTGTACAGCTGCTTTTTAAAGTCAGCTTAGGGAAGAAAGGAGAAGCAATTTACAAACAGTTTGCATGACATAGATGTAATGTGGCAGCCAAGGAGAGTGGACTGGAATGCATATGCATGAACAATGATGACTTCACTGTATTAGTCAGTGGGGGTGGTAGACACCATTGAGTCAGCATGTGTACTGTGTAGCTGTCACATTCAAAATGGGCGAGTAGAGTGATGACTCTGCATCAAATCTTGCATTAAGCTTGAACATTCTTCTGTGGAAACTTTGGATGATTCAGCAGGAAGCAGCTATGGGCAGCTGGTGATTGGCAGCTTCATCATGACAATGCGCCTGCTCATGCATCATGTCTCGTGTAGAGTTTTTTGTTGAATCATCAAATGACCCAGGTGACTCAGTCCCCCTACAGCCCAGATTTAGCACCCTGGGACTTCTGGCTTTTCCCAAAACTAAAATCACCTTTGAAAAGGAAGAGATTTCAGATTGTCAGTGAGATTCAGGAAAATATGATGGGGCAGCTGATGACAACAGGGAGAACTATGTGAGGTCCCAAGGTTCCTATTTTGAAGGGGACTGAGGTGTCATTGTCCTCTGTACAATGTTTCTTGTGTCTCCTTCCATAAATGTTTCTGTTTTTCATATTAAATGGCTGGATACCTTTTGGACAGATCTTGTATGTGTATATGGTTTTTTATTTACATAATTACCTTATTAGTGCTTTTTGTGTTTTAATGTAATTTGAACTATGCCTGGGGTTTCTTGCTTTCAGCTCAATGAACTTCTGCTAGTAGTTCTTGAAAGGAGGGTCTCCTAGCCACAAATTATGTTTTTGTTTATCTGGAAATGTGTTTGGCCTTCATTTTTGCAGGATAGCTTTACTAGATATGCGATTGTTGGTTAACAGTTTTTTCTCTGAGCATTTTGAATGTTATCCCACTGCCTTCTGACCTTCATTGTTTATGATAAGTCAGCTGTTAATGTTATTTGGGTTCCCTTGGAAGTGATGTCATTTTTCTCTGGCTGCTTTCGAGATTTTTTTCCTTGTTTTGGGCTTTTAGCACTTTTGCTTTAATATGTCTGTGTGTGGGTCTCTTTCAGCTGATCCTACTTGGAGTTCATGAGCTTCCTGGGAGTTTGATATTTTTTCAATAAACTTAGGAGTTTTTCAACCGTTATCTCTTTAAATATTTCTCTGCTCCTCTCCTCTCCCTGTTGTACTACCGTCACACATATGTTGGTGTGCTTAAAGGGGTATCCCACGCTTCTCTGAGGCTCTGTTTACTTTCATTTTCTTTCTGTTCTTTGGATTGCATAATCTCTATTGATCTGAGTTTGCTGCTGCTTCTTCATCAGTTCAAATATACTATTGAGCCCCTCTGGTGAATCTTTTGTCATTGCACTTTTTAACTCCAGAATTTCCATTTGGTTCTTTTTATAATTTTTCTCTCTTCATTAATGTTCTTTATTTGATAGTTGTCATCATACCTTCCTTCTGTAATTGTGGTTTTCTGAAGTTTTTGTGAACATGTTTATAATGGCTACTTTGATGTCTTTTTCTGTTAAATCCAACATCTGGTTGTTCTTACAGGCAGTTTCTCTTTGCCTACTTTTCTCCCACAGTGTATGTATCATACTATCCTGTTTCTTTGCACATCTCCTAACTTTTTATTGGAAACTGGAAATTGTAGATGTTTTTACAACTTTGGATACTGGCCTCCCTGGGAGTGAGGGTTTTACTGTTATATGTTTAGTGATTGGCTGGGTTATTTAATGAAGTATATAGTGAATGTAAAGCCTCTCATGTTGCCCCTCAGTGGATGCAACCTTGGGCATGTCCACAGGCACTCTGGAATGACAGTGGATTTGGAAGAACTGTCTTGACACTCTGCGTGACCTCACCCAGCAGTTAAGGTTTTTTTGTTGCCAGCTAGCTGATTGCTCTGCTATTTTCAACAGTGCCCTGGGGCGTACTTTGTGCTACAGACTGGTCCAATCAGATTCAGGCTCCTTTGAAGGGATGGTTCACAAGGTCAATGTTTGCCATTTGTTTTGACCCTAGGGAGGCTCCTCCCAGCTTCTTGTTTCTTTCCCTGAAAGTTGTCTACAATTTAACCTATGTATCCAATGAATCTACCAAAATCCTTCCAGTTGCCATTCTGCCACTACCCATGTTTGTTTTTGAGAGCACTCTTAGGCTTGAATTTTTACATAGTCAGTTCCAAATGAAGTCAGTTTGCTTAGGAAAAGATTCCCCAGGAAAAATCTCTGAGCAAAGCTTTGGAGCTAGTTGTGAGGACAGTTAGCATGCTTGTTTCTGAGTGATACCCTCATTTTAAAAGCTCAGGGTGTTGAGGGGGCTGCATTCTCTGGTCCTCAAAGTTTGCTTCACCTAGCACAGAATCTTCACTTTTTGGTCTGGGGCAAAGGTGGATTAGGACTCTAGTTAATTTTCAGTGGTTCTGCACCCAAGGTAGAGCCTCCTTCCTACAAGTCCAAGCTGGGCATAAGAAGGAATCTTCCCCCTCTGGGCTGCACTCTTCCAAAATAACAACAGGCACTGGGGGCAGGATGAGATAGATATTTTGATGTCCTGTCCCTTCCACAAACATAGCCTTCTGACTAGGAGCTGGGGGAGAGAGCCCTGTTTTGTTAGCTTCACCAGTCTGATACAGTTTTTGTCTTACTGAGCCTGGGTGTGGGGAGGGAGGCAGTTGATCTTAGTTCAAATACCACAGACTCTCACTGTTCTTTTAAGATTTTCTTGAAGAAAATGTGTCTTTATTTGCTGTGTGCCCAAAGGACCATTTCCATAGACTTTAAATAGTTGGTTTTCTTTTTTTTCTTTTTTTTTTTTAGAAAGACTTAATTTATTTTTAGAGAGAGGGGAAGGGAGGGTGAAAGAGAGGGAGAAAAACCTTTTTATGACCCTTTTTTTTTTTTTAAACCATCACCTGAGGATATGTTTATTGACTTTAGAGAGGAAGGGAGAGAGAAACAACAATGTGAGAAACATCAATAAGTTGCCTCCGTACCAGGGATTGAACCTTGCAATTTAGGTATGTGCCCTGATTGGGAATCAAACCCACACCTTTGGTGTACAGGACAATGCTCCAACCAACTGAGCCACCCAGCCAGGCCAGAACTTGACATTTTTGAAGAGTATAGGCCATGTGCTTTATAAAATGCCTCTCAGTTTTGATTTGTCTGACTACATGAGAAGATACAGATTGTGTGTTTTGGACAGGAATACCACAGAACTAATACATTGTATGAGGAGGTCCATGACATCTGTTGAGCCCATCTGTTAATCTCAGGCATTTCTTTTAACATAGTATCACAGACTAAATTTTCTTGATTTCTAGTCAAATTGAATTTTCTGTATGTTAATTGGTTATTTTTATTATTTTGTAAATGCCTTTGCTGAATTATCTGTGTGGTTGATTTTGTTGTTTTATAAATTCTGATGTTCTAGTATTTTGTTTTATTGATTCTAAGTTTGGCTTCTTGTACATCAAGATATTGGTTGTCTTTCCATGTTTTAAATGTATGCTTATATATCATATTTTATTAGTTGTTTATAAGGAAATAGTTTTTATAAAATAAGTCTTGATTAGTAAATTTTCACTTTTGTATTCAAGGGACTCTAAAAATGAATTCTGCTCCAGAAATGTTTTGTTTTTATAATTAAAAATGTATTGTTTTATTGATTCGAAGAGCTCTTTATAAATGAATGGTATTCCTTGGCACATATGTTGAACGTATTTTACCCACTTTATTGTTTGCTCTGTAATTTTTTATGACTATATTTTAATATCTTAAAAGTTCAAATTCTTATGTAAATATACTATTAGTATTTACCCATATGACTTCTCCCTTTGTTATCATGCTTGGAAAAGCTATTCTAAGATTACAGAAATATTTTTTCTACTACATACTCATATTCTTTTTATGTTTTCCCAAATAGGTACGTTTGCGGGAGCACATGGGTGAAAAGTATATGGCTTACAGTGTGAAAGCTCGCCAATTGAAATTTTTTGAAGAAAATGTGAATTTTTGAAATTTTATTCTAATATGCTGCCAGAACTAAAGACCTATATTCAAAGGTTTTTGGCTTAAACAGAAACAAACTTACAATGATGCTGAAGGCTACTCACCAGCCTCGTATCTCTTTGTGTTTTTTTAATACTGGAAAAATAACGTGACAGAACAAATACGAAGCAAGCTCACAAAAGAAACTTTGGCTATATTATTCTCTTTGTGAGAAAAAAAACCAAGACTTTGTTTGGTTACTGTTTACTGAGCCTTAAACCACTGACTTTATATCTAGAACTTTATTTTTTTAAGGTACTAATTAGCTTGAATACATGACCATATAACATTGGATTGGAAGTTTTATATTATACTATAGTGATAAAAGCAATAGGAGAAATAAATGGCATATGTTCAGTCATACTACTTGTCATTGTTGATAACCTTAGGTAGTGGTTGATAAATTATTTTGTAAAAAGTCAATTCAAGATTCTGGGAGTAGATTTAAAGAATATGAAGTTGTATCTATTACTTGAGCAATTGAATTCCCTCTTCACATATATGGACATTGAACATTTTATTTCCATGTAATATGCCCCTCATTGAGGGTATACGAGAATTAAAGCTAATAGATGTTTTGCCTTTGTAACACTGTGTTTACATGCTGGGGTTTGTTTTAGATTTATTTTTCCATCATTGAAAACATTTCTTAAATACTTATTCCTTTACCAGGTAAGCAATTTGTATGTAGAATCCATCCCCCTTTAGTTATGTTGGACATACTTTTGTCTCCTAAAGTCTGGCTCCTTGTTTATCAAGATATTGGTTGTCTTTCCATGTTTTAAATGTATGCTTATATATCATATATTTTATTAGTTGTTTATAAGGGATACTGCCCACCTAGGAAATAGTTTTTATAAAGTAAGTCTTAATTAGTACCTTTTCACTTCTGTATTCAAGGGACTCTAAAAATGAATTCTGCTCCAGAAATGTTTTGTTTTTATGATTAAAGATGTATCTTCTTTGAAAATACACACACACACACGAAATACTTTAATGAAGTGTTCCCTTTCCAGTCACTTTCCAGGAGCTGGGAATATAGTGATGAATAAAACACTATTCCCTGTCTTTACCGTGCTCATAGCCTAGTTTCTGAGACCTCTTATTTTTACTTTGAAGGGTTTGTTAGAACTCAACTATAAAACCATATAGACTTAATGCCCAGCTGGCCAACTGTTTGTCGTCCTGAGCCAGTCACCATTTCTTACACATTTCAGAAATCAACATCTTTCTGGAAAGTCATTGATTTCTGGAAAGACAATGAGTCTTTCCTAACTCATTGATATAAAGTTGTCCATATATTTTCTTAGAATTAAAAGATCTCTTGCATACTTTATTATTCCCATTCTGTACATTTTTATTGTTTAAACATTCATTCAGTTTTCATCCTGTTTTTTGGTTATTTTGTAGTTTTTTCTTAAATACTTAATTTTTCCTCTTATTTAATTATAAAACACATTTTTAATACTGAATTTTCTTCTCAATATACCTTTGGCCACATTTCAGACTTTCATATGACATTCCTTTTGTCATTAGTTTCCAAATAGTAATTCTGATTTTGATTTTTTAAGTAAGTTTCTTAATTTCCATGTGTTTAGAGAACCAAGGAAATTCTGTCTCCTTACTCTAGGTACATTACAGTGTTGTAACTGAACATGAGCTGCATGACCTCTTTCATGGAATTGTTTTCCCTGTGGCTCAGTACATGATCCATTATTGGAAGAGCCAATAATGTGAGCATTCAATAAAGGTGAATTGTTATGCACAGAGTCACTATTAAATATTATACAAGTCTGTATAAGGTCTGATCAATAGCATTTTGTGATGGAAATAGAAATACCTGCGCTGTCTTATATGGTAACCACTAGTCATATATAGCTGTTGAGCCCTTGAAATGTGACTAGTTTGAGGAACTCAATTTTTTAGTTTTAATTAACTGCAAATAGACATGTGGCTAGTGGCACCATATTGGACAGTGTAGCTCTGTACCATTCATTCAGTAAATATTTGTTGAACACCTATGTGTCACATACTCTTACAGGTACTAGGCAAACAACAGTGAGCAAAACAAGGTCCCTGTTTCCATGGAGCTCATCTGTGGAGGACAATTAACAAATAAATACAAACTGAGATATATTAAATGTTATGAAAAATAAAGCAGGGTAAATGGATGAAGAATGATGGGGCATACCACTTTATTTTTATAGGGTAGCAGGAAATTCTTCATTATATTGACATTTGGGTAGAGACCTGAATGTTAGGAGAAAACAAGTCATGTGTATCTGAGGGAATGTTCCAAGTACAGGGAACAAGTGCAAGCCTTCCTACCAATCACCTGTCCACCTGATCTGTCAAAGTCTGAAAAGTAGTGTTGGTCTCCTACGGAAAGTGTAGCTTGGCTCTGTATCTGGGGACATTCACAGCTCTCAGCGCCTGGCCCAGCTTTTTTCAAAATGTCTACTATTCATGAAATTCTGTGCAAGCTCAGGTTGGAGGGTGATCCCTGTACACCCCCAAATGTGTATGAATCAGTCAAAGCCTATACGAACTTTGATGCCAACCGGGATGCCTTCAGCACTGAAACGGCCATCAAGACCAAAGGCGTGGATGAGGTCACCATTGTCAACATTTTGACCAACCGCATCAATGAACAGAGACAGGATATTGCCTTCACCTACCAAAGGAGGACCAAAAAGGAACTTGCATCAGCACTGAAGACACCTGGAGACAGTGATTTTGGGCCTGTAAAAAACACCTGCTCAGTTTGATGCTTCCAAGCTGAAGGCCTCCATGAAGGGGCTGGGGACTGACGAAACCTCTCTCATTGAGATCCTCTGCTCAAGGACTAACCAGAAGTTGTAGGAAATTGAGTCTACAAGGAAACGTGTAAGACTAACCTGGAGGACATTATTTCCAACACATCTGGTGACTTCTGCAAGCTGATGGTTGCCCTCGCAAAGGTTACTAAAAGAGCAGAAAATGACTCTGTCACAGATTATGAACTGATTGATCAAGATGCCAGGGATCTCTATGATGCTGGAGTGAAGAAGAAAGGAACTGATGTCCCCTAGTGGATCAGCATCATGACTGAGTGGGGCGTGTCACCTCCAGATAGTATTTGAAAGGTACAAGAGCTATAGTCCTTAGGAACATGTTGAAGAGCACCAAGAAGGAAGTCAAGGGAAACCTGGAAGATGCTTTCCTGAACCTGGTCCAGTGTATCTAGGACAAGCCCCTGTATTTTGCTGATCAACTGTACAACTCCATGAAGGTCAAGGGGACACGCAACAAGGTCTTGATCAGAATCATGATCTCCCACAGTGAAGTGGAAATGTTGAAAATCAGGTCTGAATTCAAGTACAGCAAGTCCCTGTACTACTACATTCAGCAAGACACCAAGGGTGACCAGAAAGCGCTGCTATACCTTTGTGGTAGTGACTGAGGCGGCAAGATGGCTTGAGTGTCCAGGAGTGGTGCTCCAGTGATTCCAGCTAACAATTCTAGAAAATCAGTTTGTGACTAATAGCACCCTGTGCCCATCCTTGTGACAATGATGTTAGCATTGCTCCTGTCCAGACCTTATTTCAGTTGCTGAAGCATCACCTGGCTTTCCCATCTAGTTTTCCCTTTTAACCAGAGAAATGAATATTCCAAGGTGTAGAAAATGAAATCTATGATGTGAAACATTTTGGCTCTTGTGTACTGTGTTGTAAACAGATGAAAGATGAATAAACTTAATTTTTACTTGAGAAAAAAGTGTACCTTTGCCAAACTTTTTATCAATAACATTCTTTGCTTTATGCATATCATGTCTTATTCAATGCATGATTCACAACTGTGACATCTTGGCATCTATGAAATGTCCCTCTTTGCCCCATTTAATGATTTCTGATATTAAATGTTCTTTCCACTATCACCCCTCCTTTCTGTTTGCATTTGCCTAGTATATCTGTCCTGTTTTCAGCATTGGGTGTCATTTTGAGAACATGAGGTAACTTGATTTTTAACCTTACTAGGGAGCTCCTAACTTTTAAATCACATTACACTTACTGATATACTTGGTCTATAGATTTCTGTATTCTTAATTTTTCTTATTTTTTAAAAATTTTCCTGACTTTTGCCCTGGCTGAGTGGCTCACTTGGTTGGAACATCATACCATACACCAAAAGGTTGCAGGTTCAATTCCTGGCCAGGGCACATACAGGAAGCAACCAATCAATGTTTCTCTCTCCTTTCCTTTCTCTCAAAAAATAAATAAATAAAAACATCCTCCAGAGAGGATTAAGAAAAAAATTTTCCTGACTTTTCTGTATTAAGGTCTGTGCTCCCTTTTTTAAAAAAATATAGTTTGGAAGTTCTATATCCTGGTATTGAGAAATAGAATATTATCTACAATAACCTCCCATCCCTCCCATAAAACCTTTAGAATATTTTCCCTTCAGCCCTCTGGAAAATTTAAAAGAATGTATAGCTTTATAGTTTTTCACTTTAGCCCACCTGAGGTAAAGCATAATTAAACGTTTTCTGCTTAACAGACATTTTAGTGGTACTAAAATACCACTTTACCACAAATTTACATCAGTAAATTTTTTCATTAGGTGCTAGGAACTTGAAGTTACCAAAAATATAAATGAGACTTACTGACGCTTTTAGAACCACGAACTTCTAGCTTTGGCTTTTACTAGTAGTCATGCTTACAAAATAATGAACAAAAAGACTCTTTAGACATAGACTTGCACTGTGAGTTTTAATTGAAAATATTAAAACAGCTTAACTAAAAATGAATTATAAAACTTTGGTAATTGTACTATCATTTGAGACATATATTCATTATCTTTGTAGACCTGAAAGAAACTTTGCATACTTGTATTTTCTGTTCTCTATTTCAAACAAAGATTATGAAGAAGTCTAAAATATGTTTAAGTCAAAGCCCAACTGAGAAGTGAAATATAAAGAGAACAAAATCTTTACACAGCTGTACCATAGGTGGTTTTTAGCTCGTGTTTTGGGTGTGAGAATTGAGCTCATCTCACACCATACAGGAGCAGATGCAATAGTAAAGCTGAATCATGAAAACTCCCAATCAATTATTTTTAGCATGCCTCTTAATTTTTCTTTCCCCTGGTTTCTTGTCTTCTGTGCTTGAGTCTTGAACAGGTAGCCACTTGAGGGGGTGCCGGCGATAAATGGGCCATGGAGGAAGTGTCAGCTGGGCCAGAACAGAGAAAATGCTCCAATTATCGCCATTGCACACTATGTATAACGCCTGGTTCCCAAATGACTTCTATACTAAAGGTAAAAAACAACAAACTGACATTCATATGAAAACTTGGTGCCACTGTCCAGACAAGATACTTTAAGTGATAGAAACAAGCCTCACTGTTTACACATATGGTTTTAAGAGTTAAAACAGTGGTGAGGATGGAGCAAATCCTGTTAACTTTGACCTTGGGATTATTGCTTGGAGCAGCCGCCAAAATAAACGAGCTGTATCCTTTTACACAGTTTACCTCATCTAATACTATCTGGCATTCTACTTTTGCAGGGATAGGAAGGGGAAACACTGATGGAAAGGACGAGGGAAAAGCTCGTGCCAGTTTTCATTAACAGGTGCAATCAAAACAACCCAATTCGGACAACCCAAATTGCCACTAACATTCAAATACCCACAAATTTCTTACCAAACACGAAAAAGCAAATCCGGCCATAACTATATAGACAGTCCATCCGAACTGTTCAGCCACGTACCCATAGATAAATCCAATTATCTAGAAACAAAGTATATTACATACAGTCAGGCTGGGAGAGGAGGCAAGAAAATAGGAAAAGATTATGCAAAGCCAATACTTACTGCTGAAAAAAGAATAATTCCCTGAAACATCTGTTCAGCTAGCTTCTGACCCTTGTAATCCTAGAGGTGAAGGAGAGCAAAGAAGGAATTGGTTCCACTAACGAAGAGATACAATTCCTGCCCTAGCCTCACAGCTGGCACAGAGAAACCCCAACATTAGGGGTTCCCCCAAAGACCTGGCCAAGAAATGAAATGCTGGGTTTCCCGGGGGAACTGAAGCATCCTAAAGGAGCACTGGCAGGGGAATTCTCGCGGAGGAAGGGAGGAGGGACCCAGGAGGCGCAACTCGGGAAATAGTGTAAGGTTCCCTCTGGGCCAGAAACCACGACGCAGCTGGTGGGTCTCGCACGGCGGCTGGGAAGCAGCCAGATTGACGAGCGGCGTGCGAGAATGTTGGGGCCAAGGAGGGCCGCACCCTCACCATTTGCGTGGGCAGCGAGCTCAGATGCTCCAGCATGACTGGCTGAAGTGGGCAGCAGGGTGCTGGCGTCCGGGAGCGAGGCGAGGGCGTCCGGGAGCGAGGCGAGGGCGACCGCGATTCAGGGTTTAGTGAGCGACCCTGGGCACAGCCTGGCGGGCCTACAGAGCCGGGTAGTGACAAGGCCGCAGCCCCGGAAGCGGATGTCTCAGGCAGACGCGGACAGCCTGAGGCCCCGCCCCGCTCCATCGCTAGGCGCCCTGCGCTTACGGAGCCGGCTGGAGCCCGCCGCACTGCCCGCGAAGGCCGAGGTGGTGACCGCGGCGGCCGAGCTGAGACATTGCGCGCAGGGGAAGGGTTCGCCGTCAGTGCTGTTGGGTGCTGGGAGACGCGGCCCCCTCCAACTGTCCTGGACTGCGCCTTAGCGACTTAACGGCCAACGGCGCGCCCCGTCTCCATGGTGACAGGCTATTCTTGGCGAGGACCCTGGCGGTGGGGCTGCCCCGTGGCGCCTGCTGGTGTGACTTTCTCTGGATGCTGCAGGCGGGCGGAGGCTTGTGGAACTGCACCGCGGCAGGGGAGCCCCGGGCGTTGGAGGGACTCGTCCTGAGTGCAGGGAACGCGGGTGGCCCAGCGGCGAACTGGGCCCTGGGGCCTGCAGCGCGGGCGCTGAGTTGGCGGGGCGGGCCGGGGCGCGGGCGGCGGCTCCTCCTCCTTCGGCTGAAGGTAAGGGCGGCCGCGGGGAGCGTCCTAAGGGTTTCAGCTTGCTGGTACCCGGAGTCTCTATGGACCTGAGGGAACCCTGCGTGTGCCACAGACCCCGGTACCCCTAAGCGGAGGAGGGTCCTGTTGGCCCCTAGAATTTAGAAGGGCCCACCCCAGGCCATGTCCTCGAGAGAAAAAGGGGACCCGGTCCTTGGCCATCCCTTGCACTGGTATGGCGAGAGTTCCCACCCCGAAGTCTTCAAGTTGGCCTACCAGCATGTTCGCTGGCTTCATTGGGCCCTCCCGGTAGAGACCAGCCACAGGTTCTTTCTGCCTCTCTCAAGGCCGGTCTCTGTCTAAAAAGCATAGGCCCCTCCCTCGTTCCTGTGAGCGAGGTGAGGTGCCCCTGTTTCTAAGAGAAACCGTTCTGGAGAACCCGTGCCTGTGCGTCCCAGGAGCCTCTCTGGCTTCTGTGCAGTGTTGTACGTCAGGGTCAGACCGTTGGATTCTAGGCACTCCCAGGGCAGATTGGTGTGCGGCTGCCGCCCCCTCATTCAGACAGTCAGCCAATATTCACGGTACCCTTTTTTAAAAAAGGTTTTATTTATTTTTATAGAGGGGACGGGAGGGAGAAAGGGAGAGAAACACTGTGAGAGAGAAACGGGATTGGTTGCCTCCTGAACGCGCCCTGACAGCCCCAAACCCGAAACTCAGGCTTGTGCCCTGACCCCGGATTGAACCAGCCGTCCTTCGCTCTGATAAACGACACCCAAACGACTAGGCCACACCGATCAGGGCCACCGCATCTTTTTTGTTCCAAGAGGTGCGCCAAGCATATATATGGCTGTGACCAACCCTATGCTTTCCTACCACAAGAATATGTCAAGGGAGACAGCCACGTAACTCCAGAAATACATGACAGCCGAATGTACTCCGATAGGAATGTCCAGGAGATAACAGGAACTCAGAGGAGATGTAGCTAAAGTTAGAATTTAGGGGGCTCCCTGGACTCCTGATAGCCAAACAGGACCCAGCCAGATGTCGAGGTGGGAGAAAGGGGATGAATTTCCTTAGTATTGCCCCACCTTTCAACCCGGCAGGCTCTAAACCGACATTTTTTGTCTTGTGTAGAAATAGACATCTCCCTCTGTATTATCGCTCCCTAAATGAACTTTACAGGGTGGCAGTTGTAGAGACTTTATGATATTTGAGCTATACAGATAAGATGGGAAAAGGAAATTGCCTTTCAGGATCCATTTGAGAGAGATCTCCATGGAAATCCATGCCCTTATGTTGGAATTTGTTTTCATGATTATAAAATATCATGCTCCCTTTCTGAGCTGAGAATCAGCCTTCTTGCTCTTAGATTAACAAGATCCATCATTCAACAAATATCACATGCCTACTACCATTTGCCAGATAAGGTTTGAGGTAGGCTACTTCAGTAAACATTTTCATTGCGGTCCCTTTTCTCTTAGAGCTTACATCAGCGAAGATAGAAATAAACAAAATTTCACAACGGGGCATGGTGAACTTCCCTGAGGACAGAAAAATGACCACGGTCTTTGGTAATTTTGACAAGACCAGTTTGATTGGAACAGTACAGATAGAAATCTGGTTGGAGGAGGCTAAAGAGAGAACAAGAAAGCAAGGGGAGCTAGAGACTAAATCCCTTCAAGCTTTTACAGCGAGGGGATGCAGAGAAATGGATTTGTGAGTCAACTGGGGTGTGGGAGTAGTGGCTTTTTTTTTTTTTTGAATTAACTAGAAGTTACTAGAGCATGATAATATGCTGCTGGGTATGATCCCAAAGAGTGGAAAGAGTTTACTGATGCTGCACCAAGAACAATTATGAGATAGGTTACAGAGCATCAGTGGAATGGCCTTTCATGTACATAAGAATGGGGGAAAACAGAAAAGGTGAGCACAGTTGCTGAATGTGGGTATTAATGCAGGTAACTAGCAAGTTAAAAAAAAAAAACTTTCCCCCTAAGGTTCCTTCACCCATATTTTTGACTCCTTCCATGGGTGAATGTGTGTGTATTTTGTGAGTGAATTGGGAAGATTTTAAAATTTCTAAACAAAAAATAATAATTTTCATAGTGAACAATTTGAATATTGCTGATCAAATTGTATACTGTTGTGTACTCTTAACAAAAATATAAGCCGTTATTATACATTCCAGGGTGTACATGCAATTTTGTTTTGAGAATAAATTCCTTTTAACACAAATCAATAAATCCATTATCAGGAATAGCACCAGGAAAGGAGCTGTGGTCAGACATACTCCATAATAATTGGCATTTTTGCATATAGATAACTGTGGAAGAGTTTCAGCATCAAGTGGTTTCTGCCATGCTAATCTACTTAAGTACATCAAATACCTGCTAGGATTGTGTTTTTCTTGTATCTGACTGAGTGGAATAGTACAAACACATGTGCTTCTTGATTCACATACTACCTGTAAGTAACTTACTGGACCTTGTTGAACCAAAACACTGTCCCTTGTACCATTAACTTAATGAGATTTATTTGAATGAGGTAGTTTTCTCCAGTCTTGGTGGAAGTTGGCTCCAAGCAGGCAGATGTTGCAGCTTTCTTTGTTTGATCACCTCCCAGCCTGCCAACTTCCATAGGTAAGGCTCAGCCCACAATGTGATAGAAGCACATGGCTTATAGTATATTCTTGAAAGGAAGTTTATTGACATAACGTACTTTATATATACTGCTCTAGAAGGAAAGACACAAAGAGTATTTTAGATTATTCTTGGGGAGTCTGAATTATTTTCTCCCAAATTTGTAATCTGGCCTGTGATCCCCAGATTTTTAAACAGTCCTTCAATATATTTCTCCTGTTTTCAAAGGCCTTGAAAAATCAAGTAACCGATATGCACACTCACTACTTAACAGTGAAATTAATTTAAGCTTACTTTGATTTTAGAAATATACTATATTAAAAAATGCTTTGTTAAGTTAATAGCCTTTTGTAAATGTTAGGTACTCTCATGGGAGAAGATGAAGCAGAAAATGTTAAAAGTCTTTAAGTGTATGCTCGTTGTTTAAAATCTATTTTTTAAGGAAGCCTTACCTGGAGGTTGTTATAGATATCTAATTGTTTAATTTAGTACCACCTGCAGTCTTGTTTCCATTGAGGTACTGGCATGGGATTAGCATAAACCACAGAGAAGAAGCTAATTTTTTTTCTTTTAGGAGATTTTAATTTTTTGAGAATAGCACTCTAAACTTTTTTGTTTCAGTTTAGGTTTTGTGTGTTTTTTTTTGTACTCTAAACATTTGATAGCAGAATTGGATTTTGTGAATTTTTGTAATTGTTTCTCTGCTATAGTTTTAAATGAATGTGGAAAATGTTCTTTTTCCCCCCTTTCTTTAATTCCAAATAAAGATGAATGAGACAACTCAGAACAGGAATGCTTTGTACCAGTGAGGCTGACCTCAGGTTACTCTGTCATAGACAACTGACTACCTAATTTAATAAGCAATTTTAAGAAGTTCATTGTGATTAGACCCTAACTATTCCTCATGGTAGAATTTCTTTTGCTTCTCATCCAGAAGTGTATAACATACAAAGTTATCTTATTTTTCGCAAGTTATTTGGAAGTATTTTCATGACTACCATAAAAAATTCAGATTCCAAATTGGGGTTCCTGGAAACTGTTAATTCAAACTGAGTTTCTGCACAAAGTATGCAGATCTTGTTTCTACCTAAATAAAAGTATTCAGGCATTTTGATGGCCATTCTTATGTATCTACTGACTTTGGGGGCTTGTTTTTTGTTTTGTAGGGTTAATAACTAATATTTATGTAAGACAGAAGAGAAAGATGTCATTCCGTAAAGGTATGCTCTTTCTACAAGTTACGTTTTTATTCCTGGTCAAAAGGTACAGACGTATAATGCAGGCTTTCCCCTCTGTGTTTCAGTAAACATCATCATCCTGGTCCTGGCTGTTGTTTTCTTCTTACTGGTTTTGCACCATAACTTCCTCGGCCTGAGCAGTTTGCTAAGGAATGAGGTTTCAGGTATGGGAATGCTTGGCACCTGTCCAGGACCTGGAGTTCCCTGTGTCCTACATCCTGAGTTATATCGTTAGGTTAAAGGAAAAGAAAGCTTTCTTGGTCTTATAGAAGCTCCTAAAGGCTCTGGGATAAAACATGGTGGTACTCACTGTGCTTTTGCAGCCTTCCCACTCCTGCCTCTTCTCCGTTCTGTGCAGTTGTTTGCTAAGGGTTTGATCTGACAAAAGGCACTTCACCAAATCAGAGGCCAGAGAGGAGCCTCTATGAGCTGCTATTCTTTGCTCACATTTCAGCAGAACAGGGCTTCAGAATGTGGGGACAGTTGAATGTCACTAGTGTTTGGTGTCTGCTGTATTCACTACAGGGCTACTTTCCTTCACCTGTTACTTTTCTATAACCCGTGGAACTGTATTAGCAGGACTCAAGTATATAGTAAAACAAAACCATAAATCCTTGTAAGTGATTTAAAAAAAAATCATTATATAATTCCATTGCTAGTTATTTAAAATTATTTGTTCATACTGCTCTGTCTTGGTATTGAGGGATGTTTGAGACTTCAGCGTGTTAAAAATCATTTTTGGATTGCCACATACCATAGTTGATCAGAGCAAGAAAAATCTAATAGCTTTCTGCTGACTTTCACTAAGTGCTCTGATAGCATGTTTTACAATATAACAGTGTTTATATACATGTATGTATTTATACATATGCCTATATACAGGGGGGAGTAGGTTTACAATTATGAGTACATGAAACACAAAATTTTACTCTCCTGTTATTTACTGTTGTATTATTTTCCATATGAACTTCTACTTTTGCCTGCCCCTGTATGTATATAAAGTAATATCTGCTCCTGGTGGGAACATATATTAAAAAAGATAGCACTCAAGCTCCATGACAGCATTTTGTTTGCTGCTTTATCTCCCATGCTTCTGGGTGATGGTTGGTACATTGGAGGTGCTCAATAAAATATACATTTAATAAAATGATCATTGCCTGGAGATAACTATTACTAAAATTTTGGCCTTAGTACCTTCCAGTTTTTTTCCCTTTCTATATTTTTTCTATAGAGTTGAAATTATACTATATATAAATTGCACATATGACATGTTTTAAATAGGTCACCATGACAGTAGAAACTTATGTAACTTTAATGCCACATAGTTTCCACAGAAAAATGCCTTTCGGTACAACAACTTTTTGATGGCAACCCCACAATAAGAGATGTATTACATACAGCACAT